ACCAGCAGCCACCAGAAAGCGCCCTGCTGCACCTCTGCCCACCCTGCTGCCCACGCTGGAGCGAGACCCCTTGCAGGGCGGAGGGGAACGGGCCCTTTGGGAGCGTCATGTAACTGCCCGTGCCTCGAGGTCTGGGGCATCCAGGCACATGGAGCTGAGCAGCAGGTTAGAGCAAAGGCTGAAAGCCACAAATCCAGCTCTTCCCCTTCCCCCGTCCCCCGACCATTCCCCACCCTCCCCACTTTTTTTTTTAGACCATGCTCCGACTGTTACTCTGTTCTCACTGCTGGGAATGGCACCGCCTCCAGAGGATCCCAGGCTCGGCTCCTTAGGAAGCTTCGGCACGCCAGCTCTGAGAATCAGCATCCCCTAGGTAAAGGGCTTTTGGTTTGGGATTACAGCAGGCAGGTGGCACCGGGGAAGGGATGAATATGCAAACTCAGATGCAGTGGAGATCTGCAGCACTGCTGATCCGCTTGCTGGAGGAGGGTTCAGCTGGAAAGAGAAAACGGGGGGGCCCCCAGTCAGCTGGGGAAGGGGGAGAGGATGGCGCTGGGACAGGCATCGTGGTAATAGGTGGCGCATCAAGTGGCTGGGGTCCCTTCCCGGCTTTGAAGTGAGTCCTAATCGGTTCAGACAAGCATCGAGGAAGGCCCTGGTAGGTTCAGCTGCAGTTCACCTATTGATAATAGAACAGCAGGTTGGTGCATGTCTGCAGGAGTGAATTTAGCATGAGATCAGGCAGGGCTCTGGCTGCAGACTCTGGGCTGCAGACTCCTGGCAGCCTGGGTTTGGCAGAGAGCTCTGAAGAGCTGGGAGGGAGAAATGCAAAAGCATGCTGGAGCATTGGGAACCTGGGCTGAGGAAATGAGGAGCAAAGGGGTTCCCCTTCTGTGGGGCCCTGCAGTGAGTGCAGGACCCACAGCTGGGAGACAGGGAGGTGTCTGCTGTGAGGGATGCTCTGCAGAACAGAGGCTGGGGATATGTTGGAGGGGAACCTACTTAAAACAGAGTGGTTTGCTCTACAGAGGTTTTTGCAGAGAGGTGTCCGGCTGTGAGAAGTGAGGTGGCTTCTGTGTAGCCCATTAGCCCCTGGGTTCCTCTGCCAGGCAGGTTGACCTGCTCTGAGATCTGTGCTGCCCCTTCTGTCCTGCTGGAAAGGATCCCAGTGACGTTGGGCAAGGAGCCTTCATGTCACCGAATCTGCACCAGTGGCTGCAGCATGCAGGCACCCAGCTTTTCCTTCTCCATCAACACATCTCCAGATCTCTCGTGTCTCTGTTCTCAGAAAAGCTGTCTCCTTTTCCGTCAGCTCTTTGGGGAAGTGAATGCCAAATCAGCCAGTGATTTCTCCAGACAGTACTGCTCCTCAGCCTCACCATGCTTCCCTCATCCACTGGGGCAAACAGTGGCTGAGAGCAGCAGGTTTTGGGTGACGAGCAAGTCCATTAGCATCTGGGCATTCGAGCTTGGTGTCTGCCTCCGCATCTGTTGCAGAAGGGAGAGATGTAACAGCAAACAGTGAGGCATTGCATTTAGTCCAGCCGGTCTTCCTCCTGCCACCTTATTAACAGAGGGTCTGTTTCTCTAGTCATGCTGCTGTACTGCTTCACCTCCCAGGTCTTGGGGAGGCTGCAAATGCACCCTTCCACCACATTAGTCCTCTCTTCAAAATCATCTCTGTCTGGCAAGCCTGGAGCAGTCAGCACCTGTGGGAATTGTAAGGCCCTGCTTGGCTTTGGCTGCAGAGCAGTCTGTTCTTCTGCTCTTTGTGCCTTGTGTGTCCTGGTCAGTGTGTCTTGCCCTTCAAAGCAGCTTATGCTCCCGGATCTCAAGTTCTAGACTCTGAACAATGGCAGTTTGAGCAGAAAGTCCCTTAAAATCTCACTCCATTATGATTCTGTCTTGTCATCTGCCTTTACTCTCGCTACCAGATCTAGATGTTGGCCTAAATAAGAGGGTCCCTTTGAGAACAGGGAAGCATAAGGTCTCCAGGGTGGGCACAACCTTCTCTGCGTTTTGTTCTCATCATTATTGGCACAGATTAAGACTGGGTGAAAGCAGCTACAGCCCCCTTGGCTGCTCTGGGATTTCCTTGCTTAGTGATGATGTTTGGCTTGCTGTGTGCTTGTGCTTCTCTCTCCAAGGGCCTAATGTAAGCCAAGGCCAATGCTGAGGGTCCTCGTGAGATAATGGCGTGTGCTTGTATGTCCTGGTGAATCAAGAGATGTTCAGTCAGTGGAGCTGCAATGTGTCATTAGCGAGGAATGTGGTCTGCTTGTCCTTCCCATCCTGTTCTCTTTGAAATCTCCTACACATTGCTTAAATTAGGCTGCGATGGCTCTCTTTCTATCCCCAGCCTCCAAGGTGCCTTGGACAGATGGATTTATCTAAGATTTGGCAGGCCTTTTAGCTCCCTGGGGCAAAGACAGTCCTCAGAATAGGGACAGATTAGTAGGGTCTCTGTGCCCCTGTCCTTTAGCACCTGCAGCAGAGTTCTGATTTCAGGGACCTCATCCTTGGCTATTTCTGGGCCTCTTTATAAGATTGCCTCAACTTGTTCCTCTGGCCCCATTTTTACCCATGAAATCTTATTCTGGGGGTGGTCTGTTCAGGTGGACACCTGTATCTTTGAGGCACGGCTGCTGCTCTGGCCTGCAGGATCCATGCACAGTCTTCAGGCTGCTGAACACCTTCCCCATGCACATAGTGCCAGCCATAGCCAGGTCCCAGACGCAGTCCCAGTGCCACAGTTTGTGGCCGTGCCAGATCCATAGCACCCTGAGGAGAAGTGGGACCTCTCTAGTCAGTGCTCCCTGCTGCACACAAGGATTTTGCGGAGATCCCCTTCCTCACGTTCTGGGCTCTGCTACCCTGCTGCACCTGGTGGAGCTGCGCCCCTGCCCCGGTCCAACCTACTCCATTCTCGCCAGGCTGGAGACCTTCCTGCTCTGTCTCAGGCTCAGGAAGGGGGATGGCATGCTTGGGCACAGAGGGGAGTAGGACAGGGCAGGAGGGACAGGAGCTGCCTGGTGGCTTGGTGGAGCTGAAAAGGACAGACTGAAACTGGGGTTGTGCTCCCTCTCCTTCTCCTTGCTTGCAATGGCAGGGAAGTTCATGGCAGACAACTGGGCTCTCCCTTCCCACCTCCAGCATGGGACGCAGCCTGTGTGTGTGTGTATAGGTTTCCTCTTAAGTGTTGGCAAGGGATCCTGGAGCGCTGGGCTAAAGGGCAGCTGATTTAATTCTTGCAGCTCAGGTTATCAGCACAGATACCCAAAGACGGTCTGTCCCTGTTCCAGCACACAGCCTCTCCATGGTGGAGGGGTCCTGTTTTCCCCCGGCACACAGACATCCACCCGCCACAGCTCCAGGCTGAGCAGCAGTCAGGCGCCTGCTCTTCCTGCAGACTTGTGTCTGCTCTCTGCCATGTCTGCGTCGGTGACGACGATTCCTTTGGCAGCTCAGTCGATGGCCCAGTCTGCTCCTCTCATGATAGCCTGCTCCCTTATATCTAACCTGAATTCTCCCTGCTGTATCTTAATCCCATTACTTCTCCTCCATTGACTGGCGAGTCTAATTGGCTCCGCTCCTTTTTCCCATGGCCCTCCCGACACAAGCAGGCGTTATCTGGTCTCTGCAGCCTTCCCTTCACCGATCCCAGGATCTCACTGGGCAAACCCTGGGTTGCGTGGTGGTGCAGAAGTTTTCCCTATGTAGCGAGTATATCCTTCCTGCTCTGAGCCTGGCTGGGTGAGAGGAGAGGGCCAAAGGTTCAAGCAACACCTTGGTTTGTCAGGCTGGCTGTCCCCTCATTTCTGATGCAGAAGATCTCTTCAAAGTGAGCAAAGTACACAGAGCTACTGGTCCCTTACGCAGGGAAAGCAGGACAGCCTGCGTCGCCCTCTGGGAAGGTGAAAGCAGAGTGCTTGGCAGTACGAGGGGGCAATAACTAGAGGGTCTCCGCAGTCAGATAGCTTTGGGTTTTTTCCATATGTCATTCACCCATTGCAGCTTTCCCTGGGCTGAGAGTCAGGCTCAGCATTGCACTTGTCAACAGGCTTTCCTCGCATACTGGGACAAGTGAGGTGGGAATGCTCCCAGTTCCTCCTCCTGGCCCTTCATGGTGCTAATCCATCCCTAGAAGAGAACTAGTCCTTGCTGCTGCAAGGCTGGACAGTAAGGTTGGGCTATTTGGTGTTTCCCATTGCTGCCAGTATAGTTGCCAGGTACTTAAAAGCCCTCCAGCTTTCCTGAACTAGAGAAAGAGAGAGAATGAGTGTGTGAGGGGCTTTGGATTAGCTGATCTTAAGACACATCACCACCAGTTTATCCATCTTTCAGCACACACTGGAAGCTTCCCAGATAGCGCCCAGCTCTTTGCTCATGCAGAACCATGCGGGGACACCAACTAGCCTGGTGGTACTTCTCGAGCCCACTGCGTGTAATGCAGACCACACCAAGGAGGGAGATTTCAGAGAGGGCTTTCGGGTTGAGCAACTGTAAGGGCATTTGTTAGGACAAGGAGATGGAATCTCATCTTATGGCCAATGCCAAGCCTTCCAAAGTCACACACCAAGCAAATACTCAGGATCAGTGCTAGGGAAGCTGCCGTT